CCTCCAACCTATTAGCGATGGCCATGACCTCCAACCTACTAGCGATGGCCTCCAACCTTGATGGCCTCCAACCTACTGGCGATGGCCTCCAACCTATTAGCGATGGCCATGACCTCCAACCTACTAGCGATGGCCTCCAACCCGGTCTTTTGTCTCGCTGAAAGGTGTTGATTGATTACCTGTTGCGATATTCGGCTGCACTGGTGTCCTTGAACATAGTCCAGCAGGCACTCCCCGCTTGATGCAATCACCAGCCACCGCCCAGCTAAACCCTCAGCTTTGCAATGACATGCGATGACTACTCTCAAGTCCTCTAGGACACACTTCACACGAGGTCGTACATAAATTATATAAAATAACACCAAACAACAATGCTGTCGGACAACCAGCAACTACCGCATGAAAACACACGCCCAAGCCAAAGAACCTCACTAGAACAGTGCCAATGAACATGCATGTTGCAACCCTGGCCTCCGGTCGCCATGACACCGACCTCTCAGCGTGCTTAAGCACTCCTGGCCCGAGGACGGCTTAACTGTTGGGTCAGCTGGATATTGTTCATCTCTTTCACATGTCATTGTCCCCGCCCCGCCTCTTAGCTTCACAGCGCTGAGTGATATGTTCATGGCTGGAGAATCATTGGTCTACAGTGGACTGATCAGGACTTATCATGATCAATATGCATCATGTGGGCCAACTGGCAAAAGCTCTAGGCCATCGAAGAGGTGCCGAAAAGCGACAGTTCATTGCTGCAGTCTCTCCCATGACCCCAAAGAGATCATGATCGCATCGTGCCCATCCAAACCCAGCCACCCCTAATTACAGTGCGCACTGTACGAGCCAAAGTTGCGGAACCTTGAGGGAGATGCAGGGAGAAAAAACGCGAGAAAGAGAAGATGTGATCTCGGCACTGAGTGTGGAAGTCAAGAAAGCTGACTGCAACAGAAGTGCAACATGTGGATTCGCTATGTACTGTCTAATCCTGCCCACATGGCAACAATGTTGCATGGAAGTGACAAATTTTCCTTGGAAAACAGTCTCCTCTGGGAACAGGGGGTTGTCCCCTTCCATGTTATATAGTGAGTCTCAGTGTAGCTGTTGTTCCAACATGGGTGGGTAACCCCTCCTGGCTATATATCGTTCTGAACTCAATGAGGCACTTGATCTTCTCAACACAAAAACATACAAACATCCGTGTGGATTCTACTAAATTCAAATTGTAAGTCCAATTGGTCTTATTCAATTCTAATTATATAGTTCTAATGAGGGACGGGAGCCTTGACAAAACTTGCTGCATCCCAGCGGCAACTAGGATCAAGCTGATCGTCAGAAGAAGATTTCCACTGCCTCAGGGTTTTCAGAGGTCGGAAGCATCGAGCCAGAAAGAGTTTAGGAAAGGAAAGAGAGATGATAATTCCGGGAAGGGCCACGGTTATAACATGTTAATAAAGCCCATTTGATGGGCCGGTGTCTTATGAAAGGGACCCCTGACGGCAAATCTGTCATGCCATTCTTTCTACATCGGTCCCGGCCCAGGCCACAATTGCAGATAGGCCACACCGGCAGCCCCGGATACAGTAGTAAGCACGATCATCGGCTCCGGCAATTGCAGCCACCTAAGAGCGATGGCCTCCAACCTAGTAGCCACCTTGCTTCTTTGCAAGCTTTTGATTAAGAAATAAACAATTTGTTCCATCTGCGTCTACACTAGGACAACCCAAGAAGAACAGTTGGCACCTGTTTCTGGCAAACTTCTTTGCGACTACTGCAGGCAAGTCACAAAGAAAGTGAAAACCACATTCAGGCCATGCAGTGCCTATTCAGCCGTACCACATCAATGAAGCTTAGTGAGTCAGTTGACTCTCCAAATTCCTGTGGACTGGGCCGTCTTTAAGGCTCCACCAATCGATGACAAGGAAGAATTCGTGAGGTTCTTTTCCAGCCTTGGTGCATTCTCTTCAGCGATTTCACTGTCAAGAGGCTTGACCTGGCTCGGTATCCTAAGCTCTCTGACCCCGCCAGAACGGCAATGAGCAAAACCTTCCGCCAATGTGTCTTCAAACGCTGGCCTCGGAGAACTGGACACACTCTGAACCATTTGCCTCTTCGCTGTGGAGGTCCCAAGTCGCCCACAACCTTCCGTCCCATCAGCCATGGCAAACGGAGTAATCAAAGGCCAACCTAGCCATGGGAGCCCCGAGCCGCTCGGCGACGGATGACCTCTAGTGCAAGGAAATAAACGGCCTATGACGAGGTTGGCAAAGACTGACCTCAGTGTCCAAAAGCACAAACTATATAAATCTAAATGCTCTCTGATGACGTGTGCCAACACAACCCCTAAAGAGAATACTACGTAACAGCCTTTGAGTGAGAATCGGTGAGAACGACATGTTGAAGGACGATCTCCTGCACTTTATATACTTATTTTGAAAGGCTGTGAATCACGCTGCATTCATTTTGCCAGGTAGCAGCATAGCTCGATGTTTTGACCTCTTGAGCGTTGCAGCCTGCGACGACTGGTAGAACCGTGAACAGCGCGAACAGCGCGAACTTCTGAACGACACAGCCAGGCTCGGTTTGCGGCTGTAAATACTGCGCAGGCATACCAGGCCAAAGTGACCTTGGGTGTCGATACACTCTAATGCACTCTCGGAAGGATGGTTTCAATTCCTCGCGACTCCTGGGCGTTCAACCAACATCCACTGGTTCCACATCCTTGCTGGGTGAAAAACGTGTAGGGATGACGTGTTCGACGTGAAAACAGGCACCAGGGTCACCAGACCATGAAACGACGCGGGCCAGGCCTGCGTCGTAAGGTGAAAAAGAAACTCCCAACATCTGAGCTGCATCGAGCCTCTACATCCTTGCCGCTCCATCGCTCAAACCTCTATCACGTCATCCACGCTCGAAAACCCCCCCGGTTTCTTCTCTGCGTGGTGGGAGCTGGTCGAGTTCCTTTTCTGCTTCCTGTGCCCATGTTGGGTCTGAAATGCCCTGTTGAATGTTGGGAGAAAAGAAAGTTCCTACAACACTTGAGGATCGCGTAAGCTGCATGACAATTACAACCATGGTTCCAGGCCAACGCGACTTCACGCGGCAAATGAGGCGGACCAGGAAGAACGGGTGACTTCACGGCTTGATCACTTGTTTGAGCAAGAAAGTGGCGGCCACCTCGGCCAGCCAAAGCGTCTGTCGAACAAACGTTGACAGAAACCACCAAGCTGAATGCAACACACTTTACTGACATCTCCGACCTCCGACTTGAGGAAGACAGAGGGTTCACGAATGTAGCATCTCTCAGATTGCCATGAGTGACAATGAGGAACATCATAATAATACGTTATATATATAATCATCCTGGAGTAGATAGAATGGATGAATTTTCAAAAAACAATTCACTCCTCAAAACCGGCCCTTCCAAACCCCATAGATAGAATATGGTTGTAGGGGCTTCTCTTCCTTTTCCTTTGTTGTCCTTTTCCTTCTCTGGTCGTTCTATTCTCTGTTCGTTCTAAAGAAAAGAAAAAAGGAAAGGAAAGCTTAGATAATACACATAGGAACACAACATGAGAATAACAAAGGAGCAAATACCAGAATGGGAGGAGTTGATAAGAATCTTATCACTATATTCTATCTATAGGGTCAGTCTTCATAAAATGAAAGGGATGTCAAAAACCCTGAGTTTTTTCAAAAAGAAAACACCCCCTACGAAAGTAGATTCTATCTACTCCAGGATGATTATATATATATATAACAATGAACATGTTTGTGGACAGAGTGCCGGCCCCAGAGACAATGGTGAAGCAATCAAGGTTGAATAGTTTACTGCTGTCTGCTGCTGCTGGGCCGTGTCCGCCCATCCAAAATCTTCTCCATTCCTTCCCTATCTGGACACTGCAAACGCTTTGGGCGCCGCTCACGAACTCGCGAACACTGCCGGCCCCTCTCAGACCACCAAAGTCAAACAAGGCAACGCGGCATTCAACAGCCTGGCAGCCTGGATACACCTTTTTGTTGGTCATTGGAGGGGGCTTCACAGCCAGAGCGAACCTTGGCATCGCACCGCCACTGCCATGTCTGGGTTCGGCGGCTTTGGGCACTCGCTGCTTGAATCCCCGCATAGCGGCCCGGGAACCCCAAAACCCCATCCTGGACCAAGCAAACAAATACACGAAGAATTCCTCACCGCTGACCAAACAAGACGGCGCCAGCGTGCAACAAGACGCCCTCTGCGCGTTTTTTTCACAGCGGCTGGGTCACAAGGAAGTGGCGCGAAGCAGGCGCGCATTCACATCCTCAACACATCCTCTCAGTACAGCCGTTCGGGTCCAACCCGGTGGTGAATCGACGAACAAACTCGTGCCAAAAGAAACCCAGCACGACTTTACGTTACCTGCAAATAGGGATGAGGATGAAGGTGGTGATGAGGATGACAATGGACTTGAGGCGGTCGACAACCACCCAGTCAAACACCGAGCAGACCCTCCCTCTCCGAGCAGGACCCACTTGGACTTCAGGCCCAAAGCTGGTCCGTCAAGCAAGGAAGCCAACAGAAGCCGTAAGAATGCTCCTAGTAGTAATTAATGCCCTTGTTACTAGCAGCGATGCCCTTTGCTCCTAGTAGCTTCTTGTAACTAGTAGTAAGGCCAGGAGCTACTAGTAGTGTCCTTGCTCCTAGTAGCGATGCCCTTTGTTACTAGTAGCATCCTTGCTAATAAAGGAAACCAACTGAATTGTATATGTCGGTAATTGCAGGTATGGGCCTCCTGCACGGGATGGCAAAACCGGCGCACGCATGTGCATGAAACCCGCTCGCGCGCTTGCACAGAGGGAGGTGTGAGAATTGCAATGGAATATGAAAGTCATTCAACCTTTCACAAGGTCAGCTGCCGCTACAACCCTGCAGGACACAGGCAGACCACCCAGTGATGCTACCCGCCATGGCTGGTGACAGTTGCCACTGGCAGGACGCGGTTCGGCCTAGCTGGTCTGCATATATCGTCCTGGGTAGCCTACGTTGGAGAGTTCTGTGTTGCACTGCCATGTGTCTGTTAAATGCTTGGAATCAAGAAACTTGTGAACTTAGATTAATGTTTAGCCAAAAATCAAAATTGGACAAGAATATGTACTAAATGTCCCAACCTACTGAAATTACACGTCTGTGGCAATTCTTCCACCACAAAAGAAAAGAAGCTTTGTTTATGGCAGTGAACGTAAAACATCTCTCTAAGTGGTCGATTGGTCTAGTAGGGAAGGAGAACAACATGCAATAACAACAAAAGAAGAATCGTTAATCCTCGCACCAAGGAAATCCATGTGACGCAGTAGTCGTCGCCCCATGTGGTTTCCAAAGATTCGTCCCCAACTCTTTGGAAGATTTATCTTCGAAGTGTCTGCTGAGATCCACCCAAGAATTGAAGGCTGTTCCAATTTTTTGAACAAAGTCCTCAAGATGTCCCAAGATTAGTTAAACCGTTTCTCAAGCAGTGAAAAATGGCTCAATAGCCTCACTGGAGGACAAGAAAAATACTTATAAGTATTTTCAACTTCAGCTGCAAGCATTCTTAGCCAATTCTTACGAAACCGTACAACAAATGTCAACCTGATGGTTTTGCAAAAACTTAGCAGACTTAGGGAAGTCGCCTTGACCGTGTTGTGGTCAAGCGGGTTCCCAGGCGCGCTTTTTCTCTGACCTGTGCCTCAGAGAATGGACTTCGAACATCAGGCACACGCGCACGAGCGTCACACTTTCCGCCCACTAGCGATGGCCTCCACCCTCAGAGCGATGGCCTCCAACCGCGCGCCGTTGGCAACTTGCGAAATGATTTCTCGACGCCACTTGCGAAATGTGGTGGTGGAGGAAGCATTTTCTTGATCTGACTTGCAGAACAGTGACGCGTCCAACAGAGTACCACGCATGTGTTTCTATCTATGTTGCTTGCTGAGTCGTGCGTCACCTGGCGATGTCACGGACCCAAGCAGGAGGTGCAAAAATGAGCAGAACATAGCAGAACCAAACTTTCTCTACCTCGATCTACCAGAGGCCCTTCCTGGGCATGAGAACTCAGGTGTTTATGGTGTTTCATGCCAAGGCTGCATTGCGTGAGAAAAGGACCTGGTGAAGAAGGTAGATGAAGATTCCCAACTTTCAGAAGGACCGGGGCTAAATGGTGAAATGTCAAGTTTCTACCCATGAGAAACAGGTGAACACCTTCAGCAACGATGCGAAGAACTCCTTTTTTGCCTGCCGCTTCAGTCTTGGCCACCGAAGCCAGTTACCAGTGTCTCGGCCGCTTCGCCAGGCCGATCGGCTCCTGACCAGTGACTGTGCTAGAACCCCTCGCCTTCTGAACATCCGAGTGGTCTTTCCAGCCTCCGTGGTCCCACTGCCGTTCATACCTTGGCTCGCAGCGAACACGAGCTTCACACCAGTCTCCTGTCTGGTCGCTGGCGGAAGGTGAACGCGACAGAGAGAACATGAAACGGATCTCCTTCGTTTAGTTGAGCCAGGATGCCGTCATCCACCATGCCCTTAGAGTTCTGCACATGTCAAAAAAGAGACGGAAAGATGTGTGCGTGTGTGTGTGTGTTGGTGTGCGTTCTACGAAGTAGACACGTCGAAGAACGGCCTGATGTAAAGCTGCTGATATGCCAAACTCTTGGCTATTAAACGATTAGGCTAGAGGCCATCACTAGCAGTGTGGAGGCCATCGCTAGCTGCGATGGAGGGTGGAGGCCATCACGATTAAATCAAAATTGGTCATGTCATCTTTGTTCCGAGTCACCGCATCCGGCTTTGCACCACAGCGGTTGCACTGATCACGATGTGCAAAGTTCACATTGCTGCACTCAACGCATTGCCAATTGCCGTTTTCCCCTGGCCACAGGCAGGTGGGATTGGTGGATATGGACTATGAGGGAGGAAAGGCTTGTGTTTTGCGAGGGGGGGAGGGAGAAAAGCATCTTAAGTCTTGATGCTTCCTGTTCCGGCAGTGAGGTCCAAAACCGATCGGGCCCCTCAACTACCTTTGATGGTTCAACTGGGAATTCCCGAAGATTGCTAATCCAGTTCTGAACCGCACCTGCTGTAGGAGCCTTGCGCTTGTGGGCACCTGCAGGGCCTGTCAGAAAGGATGTATACAGTATATAATATGTCACTTTTTGTTACTAGTGGTAAGGATGCTCCTAGTAGCACGGCCAGGAGCCCCTAGTAGCGTCCTTGCTCCTAGTAGTTGCTGCACAATGTGAAACAAATGTGGGCAAAGGCACTTGGCTTTGGTGCATGGCACCGGTTGCAATTGGTTCGCACAGCATAATTCACCTTAGTGTCGTTCGCTCGATCTGGCAGCCGATTCATCCCTGACTAGCTCCTGAAGATTCCTGAAGAGCTTCAGGGAACTGAAGATGCACTGAAGATGAGAACCATACGTTTTGGCATGCAGAGCAAAGCCAATTCCCATCAACTCCAACAACAGGACGGCCGCTCACTGCCTAGCACAGAACCACGGAACGGCTGCTCGCCTAACATATTTGTCAACTATCTTTACTGACTTTACAGGTATGATAAATTAAGACGCTACTAGGAGCAACGGGCATCGCTACTAGGAGCAAGAAGCTACTAGGGGCTCCTGGCATGGCTGCTAGGAGCATTCTTACTACTTGGATGAGAGCTTGTAAAGCTTGTAAGCATGAATTCCAATCCCGAATGGTCTGAGCGGCTCCGCCAAGTGACCTGAGCGACAGGCTTTGACATACGCATTGCTGGGTTTCCTTCACGCGGTGCATTGCAGCGATTGCATCGAAGCCGGGCTGGGAAATTCACATTCCCGCATGAACCTCGGGCACCATTCGGGTTCCATGTTTCAAGTCTTTCGCTGAAGAATGTCTTTCTTTCATCCTTCACACGGACATGGCCTATCATCTAGGACGATCAAACACATCACAAAGAATTCCTGAAGCCTGACAGCTTAGAAGGCTACATAGCCAGTTGGTGGGAGGCCATCGCTAGTAGGTTGGATCGCTAGTAACTAGGTTGGAGGCCTGTATGCTCAGGGGGCTACATAGCCAGTTGCCGTTCACACCGGCAATTGGAGGCCCACCATGCTTTCCAGCACCTTCCGCTGATTTCACGGCCCCACAGCGGTTGCAGGACGTTCGGTATCTGAAGTTCACGTTGCTGCAGCCGATGCACTGCCAGTTTCCATCAAAACCAGCCACTGGAGGAGGCCGACTGGCAAAAACTGTTCTATGGCTGTGTTGCTTAGGTGCCTGGCACAGGTTGCACACGTCTCGAACAGCA